TAGAGACAGACAGCTCACATCCACGAGTGCAGCTAAGGTGGAGACAGCTCACATCCGTGAGAGTAGCTAAGATGGAGACAGACAGCTCACATTCATGAGAGAAGCTAGGGTAGAAAGATGGACAGCTCACATCCGCGAGAGCAGCTAAGGTGGAGACAGACAGCTCACATCCGTGAGAGCAACTAAGGTGGAGAGACTGACTTGCCAAGAGGGACTGTAACAGTGGTGGGGATGTGAAGTGGTCAAACTTCTTTTGAAAACAGTTGGGCAGTTTCTTGAAATATAAAATATATGCTCACCTTATAGTTGTGTTGTTTTTTTAAAGTTCTTTTTTTTATTTGAAGAAATTTTGAAATGGTCCTTAATTTCTTTCTTCTGAATTTACTTCCATTTTCCCCTTATTAGAAAGAAAGAGAGAAAGGAAAGAAGGAAGGAAGGAAGGAAGGAAGGAAGGAAAAAGAGAAGGAAGGAAGGAAGAGAGGCAAAGGTCACTTTTTCCTTCCATTTTGGAAGTTTTTTCGTTTTGGAGTATGTTTTTCAGTTCTAATGGAGATTTTTGTCTTCATATAATTCACTTTTCCTTCAAGTTGTTTTTTATGCAATATTCTCTAGAACCAATTTAATTTGGAAGACTGAAAGCAAACTACCCAAAGTGTCCTAACCGAGAGGTGATGCATTCCCACACCACACAGACTGGCCACAGTGGGGACACTTGCTCTCATAACACAGCCAAGTTACTTTACTCACTGGCCTCAGTCTCTGCATTTGTCACTTGCCAACAATGATACCCTCTTTGTATCATTTTTATGAGGATTAAATGAATTAATTCATGTAAGACATCAGTATTTAAAACCTAATAAATAGGAAATGTGATTATGTGTGTGTTAAAGAAAAACTGCGTTAACCACTCACACATGATCAGATTCTTCAAACACACCAATATCTCAGAGGAACTGAGTATTTCTCAGAATATATATCCTAAAACAATTTTATCAGAGCACACACTCTTAAGGAAGTTAAGACATGTTTCTTTGAGAGGCAGTGGATATTGCAGAATGGGGTGGCATTACATGTGAAAAGAGCACATGCTTAGTTTGGTTTCTTATCTTCTACACAGACTGGAAGTGGTTTAGCAGGGCATCTGGAGCAAGAGCTGCTAAGGTTTAAGACCTGGTTTTGTCTGTGAGAGACAGGCAAGTGTGTGACCTCACGGAGTCTCCACTGCTGTGGAATGCAGATGATGGTGAAGGGAAATTGTGGGGATTAGAGTAATATGTAAAAGTCTTCATGTACAGGCTGGTTATCTAGTATAAGCTGTCAATTAACTTAGATCAGCTAAGTGGTAACTGACTATAAATGCTTGGCTTCTGAGAGATGGACACTAGAAAATACCAACTCTGAATAGTTAATAGAGATGTTCAGGAGACCAATTTAGTCATCAAAAGCTTTCATTCTGCCCCCCACTTACACAGCACACTTGCTGTGGGAAGCAAGAAGGCAGACCATAACTCAGATTAGGAAGTTAGGTTTTATGTCCAGAAAACTTCTCCAACTTCTGCTCCGCCCTGTGGAGCACTTAATAATTTGGCATTATTAATCCACTTAATAATTTGGTATATACTGATGGAGCCTTGGCAGAGTTTTAGGTTATTAGAGAAAAAGTATAGAATCTAAACACAGTGGGAAAAGAATTCAGACCTAACAGTTATTTGGGAGTGGCCCCTTCACCTTAAAACTGTGCTCGAGAAAAGGAGGGTTTTTCACTAGTTGACTCAGAAAAGCTGCACAGAGGAGGTGATGACTATAGTAGGGTTCCACGGGAATGGGAAAAAGGTGGGCAAGGGGACAATTTGGGTACTGAAAGCCTCTTGGGGAATGGAGTTTTGTCTGGAAAGAAATGGCTTGAACACAAAGGTATTGGAAGATACATACAGAAATCACTGTTATAACAATTTTTATTTTTGCAAAATTTGAGAAAGGGTAGTAGGTGTTACTTTTATTAGTCTTTTAAAATTTATTTCTTTTCAATTATTTACTTATTATTATTATTGTTGTATGTGTGTGTATGTGTGTGTGTGTGGAGGCCAGGGAACAACTTTGTAGAGATGGTTCTCTCCCTCCACTTTTATGCAGGCTCTGGGGATTGAATTTAGGTCCTCAGGCTTGCACAGCAAGCGACTTTACCTGCTGAGTCATCTTTCTGGCTCCTTGTATTAGTCTTTCAAGTTGTTCGAAGGTTTGAAATAAATTATTTTTATTTTTTAGGTTAAAATTTAGTATAAAAATTACTTCTGTAACTTTCAGTCAGAGGAGACCCACCTACAGAGATGAAAAATGCCTGGTGGGGAGATCTCAATACAGTTTGAGAAGTTTCTTGTAACAAAGCATACCTTTTCCCATGTTCGGAACGGATCTCCTCTTTGTGTGTCTTATTTCAGTCTGTAAATGTTTCTAATCTGTGTTATTTGCTAGCACATGTTCCCTGAAATGTAGGATTTTTTTGTACACACATTGACTGGATGATTACACTCAGATTTCAACATGTCTCACTGTTACCTTCTCACCCCTATTTCTACACACAGGATGCCACAGACTCCCAGATTCCATTGCTTACCGAAGATTTTTGACCTTTTTTCAAGAACTCCAGCATCTTAAGCAAAGTTCACATAAGCCTTGGAGATTGTTTGGCTCAGAACGTCCGGAAGGCCACTGAGTTCAGTAGCCTCTCCTTTCATTGGTGTGACGAAGGGCAGACTCCAAGAATGACATTTTCTTGGCTCTTCCTCACTAATTTACTCTGTTCCATTATATTGGCTGACTTCTAAGTCCCAGAACAGAAGTGAGGGTTATCAGAGGAATTATAGTGGATGTGACCTTGGAAAACTTCTGCTGATGGTGAGGTTGTTTCAGTGGGAGTAATTAAGATGCTACTCAGCAATGGATGCTTTGGCATCTAAAAGTGTAGTTCCCTGTCCTAACTCCAATAGAAAAGGGGTTTAGTTAGGCACATAAAGTTTGGGAGAACTTTTAAACTTCATATCTCAGCAGCTTTTGTTCACAAGGCATCTATGTTGGGAAGAGGTTGAAGCAGGCTGAAGTAGTATGGGGACTTGTAGCAAGCTTTCTTGTTGGACTACGTTTGGACCATCAACCCACAAATAATGACCCAGAGACTTATCATTAATTTTGAAAGCTTGGCCTTTAGTGCTGTGGAACAAACCTTTCATACACTATGAAGATTGGCCGTTGTGATTTGTTTAATGAACATAAATGGAGACTGTTTGCTTGTTTCCTGGCTGCTCAGATTCTAATAATCACACAGAAACTATATAAATTACAACACTGCTTGGCCAATAGCTTAGTTGTATTCCTAC